AAAGAACACTGCTTGCCCGTCAACCAGATCCTCGGATCGATGAAGCCTTTGACCTCTACTCCCGAGTGCTTGGGGAATATCTGCCTAGTCGGAAGCAATGATGCTAAACTACCTTACAAAAAGATAAATAAAGCATAATAAGGAAATAATAAGCAAAAAAACAGACAGCACTTGGCTTAAATTAAGACAACACACAGTCGACATTGTAAGCTGAACACACTGTTCTCAATATTGATCACTGTTCCCAAATCACTGCCCCAAATCTGATAACCCCAAATACTGACGTCCACAGACTAATACCCGAACTTACAACTGATACATACAACCTGTAGAGACACACTCTGACAGCACATAGCAAGCAAGTAAGAGCCAAAACACCCCTATGGAGGGGTAGGGTTTCCCTGTCCTAGTTTCGTCAGGAACTAGGGTTTCACTACGCACGCAGTAATTTCAAACAACCTATAATCGAGTAAGCAACCTGTCCTAGTTTGGAATGGTCACTATAGTTTCCGATATGCACTAGGTCAAATGGTCAAAAAAGGTGCCTTGGTAAAAACTGAGGTTTGTGTTCCCATCGTGGTAGAGCCCGTAATCGGTCAGCTTTATGGCACGCTTTTCCAAGCAAGCCTTTGGCAAATCGTTCAGGAATAGCAGATGGCAAACACTGTGACTTAGGCGCACCAATGCAAATCCAATGCAAAGAAACACATAAGTGTAAATAAAACAACATATCATGATGTTCGAGTCAAGTTCTCTAAATCCCCAGCAGAGTCGCCAGAAACTGTAGACCGCTCGAACTCACTCCGCGCGCCCCCCTTTCGGAGAGGGCGCGAATTGTAGTTCTAGCTACAACAGTTCAGACTCTTGTCACGATTCTGTATCTAGTCTCACAAAGTGCAATGTAAGACTGATAAATCACCAAAGAGTCCAAATCCAGAAAATCGTTTTAGAAAATCGATTTTAATCAAGAAGTGCCAAACATGGACTGCTTTGCGAGATTACAGAGTCGCCATCTAAATATTTTATTTTGGGAAATTTAGGACATCCTGACTCGTGCCTAAGGTCACGTGTCCATCGTCACCAAAGTTTCCTCAGCTTGGGAACTTGGGTACGAGAGGGGAAGGTAATGAAATGAGCACCCCCAATCGCCCGATCAAAGATCGGCCTCTACTAACATGATATGTTGTTTTTGAAAACACATGTGTTCTTATTCCGGTTATTTAGCTAACTTGCTATGTGATGTGCACAGCATACAAGTATAGACTAAATCACTCGAGTTGGAACAAAATATCTCATGTTTGTTTTTTGAAAATGGTTTGAAGATGCTACTCGCAAGTAGGCTAAAACGCGGATTTGTCATCCTCAAGTGGGCTTAAAACATGATGATTTGCCACTCCAAGTGGGCTTAAAACTCACATTCTGATGAATTGTTCCAATTCAAGCAATGAAGCCTTCATCCACAGACATTCATGCAGTTAAACACATCAGCACATAGCCTCATGGTAAGCATGCTATCATGGGAACACTTACACACATGCAAGGATGCTAAAACATAAACACTCATAGTGTACTCCGAGCCAAAACAGAAGCTAGTTAGAAATCATGCATGATCCTAGTTATGTTAAGATGCCTAATGCAACACATGCAAAAATACAACTAAAATAGGCTCGGCTATCTAGAATGGCATATGAATGCAACACTTGATAACATGCTTTGAAACACGTATTCAAGTAAGTATTGAAATTCAAAGCAGTTTGAATGATGCGCTGAGCCCGGTGCATGCAATACGAATGAATGATGCACGCATGCAAAGCATAAGGTATGCTAATTGAAATATGCCCTAATCTAACCACTGAAAGCGGGTAAATAAAAGGGAGAAAGATGTGGGGTTAGAAGACATTCACACACACACGCACACTTGTTACAGCATTTGCCCTCTCGACAGAGGGTCCGAATGAAAGCTAAGCTAGCTATGCTAAGCTACTTATCTACAAACCAATTAATTAACTAACTTAGATAATTAAATATTACAACACAAATGAATTTGACCATCTAGCTAATCTAAGCTAATTAAATACAAACCAAATTAATTAATTAAACACTTAACTAATTAATTACAAAATAATTAAGCTAATGACCTAGTTTAGCTAAGCAATTTAAACAAATGGCCTTAGGAAGCGAGGGGGAATGCATGCTCGGTCGGCTTCGCTCGGAAATCCACTTCCGTGTCTCAAGATGCCTCTGTTTGCACACTTCTGTACTTTTGAAAATCATGCCAACTTCCAGAATGCTTCTAACCCACCTTAGGAACATGCTGAGGGATGGTCGGCCAAGAGGGATGACCATCGGCCAAAGTTGATGGCCATCGGCCATTTCTGATAGCCGATCGGCAACCTTGGTGGCCGGTCGGCAGATTTGATGGCCGATCGGCCACTGCTTCCTGCAATTTCTCCTCTTGCTGCAACAGAGCACAAACCGAAGCATGGCAGTGTATTTGCAAAGAAATGTGTGTGCAACTACACTCCTTATCATGTCTCAAGCTCAAAGAAGTGTAATGCTCGGCTCTCGAGCCACCAATCACACATCTCAATGCATGATGACCAAAGAGTCAAGCTTACACAATGTTGATGAATGCACAAATAACACACAAGACTTGAGAGGCCTCCATCCTATCATGCACAATCAAGGGTGTCGGTGACCTAAGGAATGAGGCGCGTTTCATCACTTTGAGTATGAAATGTCCATCGTTCCTCATGTTTGGATCGACATCTGATCCAAACACAATGCAATGCAACACACATGCAAACAACATGTTATGCAAACCACATGTTAAGGTGGTATGCATAAGACTCTTAACATGCAAACAATGCATGCATGGCATGTTTAGGAGTTAAGGCATCAAGGCAAGTGAAGTGTATCACACATGAAGCATGTACTACAATGCTCAAATGGTCAAACAAGCCCCGGACAGAGGTCATGCATGCCAAAACAGTGGCCAAAACTCAACAAAATGTAGGCACGAAAAGCAAGGAATGCATACTCAACTTATGGCTCGCAAGCAAGGCATAAAGGCACAACTCTTAAATGCAATTCAAGAGTGATATGCATGAGAATATGGCAATGCTATATGCTCTGAAATCAAGTGTTTAATAATGCCAAATCACACAAATAACACAAACAAGGCATGTTAGAGGGTCTAGAGCATAAGGCTAGTTAAGAGCATCATACAAGAGGCATGCAATACATAGCACAACTAACCAAACCAGCTCTGGACAGAGCTCAAACATGCCAAGTTAAGGGCCAAGAACATGCTGAAATGGAACCCAAGAGCTTAGACAAGCATGCATGCAAATTGGCTCATGATTAAGGCATAAAGCATAACCCTCCAAAGCATTGAAAGAGTGATATACACGAGGGTATGACATTGAAACATGCTCTGAAATCATATATCAAATGATGTTATATCATGTAAATAGCCCAAGCAATGCATGCTAGTGGAGGGGCTTTACACTATGGCTATACAAAGCAAAGCATACATGATCAAGACCACCCAAATCAGACCTAAAGCATGTGAAATCATGGCAAAAAGCATGCTGGAGTGTAGTCAAAATAGGCTAGAATGATGGTCCAAAGCATAGAGCATGTTAGGCTAGCAAGTAGAATTACACTAGAAGTGTATGAAGCATTCAAGAGACAACCAAACCAGCCAACAACAGAGTTATATCAGGTCCAAAAACTCACAAAAACATGCTCAAACTAAGCCTTAAGAGGATAGAAATACATGCTCACTTGGTAGGCCCTCTATGCATACAAACAAGATATAAAGAGAGGGGACCACCCCCTCTCATTTTGAGCCTCAAAACCAACTTTCTACCACTGAAATTCCTCTGAGTTTCAGTGGTAGAAAGGTCAAACAAAGGTCACACCAAGAATGGTTGCTCAAGAGGCTTTACAAGCCATAGAGCAAAAGAGGGGAAACATCCCCTAACCAAACAAGACTCACACCCACATTTCAAAACCTTAAAAATAGAGTTTAAAAGAGGCTAAAACCAGCCTTAAAGTAGCATGCAAAGGTAGTTAAGCTATTAATCAAAAGAAAGCTTAAAAGGGGTATATGCTTACCCTTGAAGACCCTTGAAGAACAACAGCAAGCTAGCAACCTCTGAGGCAAAACCAAGCCAAAATCACTCAAATGCAACCTCCAAGAACCTCAGCTCAAGAGTGAAGGTGTTTGAGTAGGTGTTTGTGTGTAAAAGTGTGAAGAAAAGACACTTTTGGTTCAAATATAGTGCAAATATAGAGAGAGAGAGGGAAAAATATAGAGAGAGAGAGAGAGGGATTTGCTAACCGTAATCCAAATTTTTTGAACCTCTGAAAGGGGAGAGGAACCTCCCCTCCTATAGAAATCCAAGTCTCAAGCTTGTTGGACAAGCTAGAGGCTTGGTGCAATCCCTCCATGTATGGAAGATGCATTCTGTGCTCACTAGCTGGCACAGCTTGCAACAAAATATCTACAAAAGCAAGAAAAAGGGTCTCGGCCAAAAAACATGGCCGACCGGCAATTAAAGGTGCCGACCGGCCATCAGTGATGCCGATCGGCCACCACTAATGGCTGATGGAAAGTGGGCACAGCCGATGGGCATGGAGCCTGGTCGGTAGGTTGTAAGGATGGCCAACAGACCACCCTCTTCCCTCAGAAACAAAGCCACAAGCTCTTGGTCCACAACCAAGCACAAAACAGACAAGTTGAGAGGCTCCAAGGTAAGGTGCATAGCCGAGACCTTCAGGAACTCAAAACGAACACGAGCATGGATGATCATCGAATGTTCAAACGATGATGTCCAAGTCTTGAAGACGGTCAAAAATGGGGTGTCTACACCCATCATCACCTCTCTCCACTTCAATTGCCAAGCCTTTCTCCACCCACAACCTCGCATTCAACGGCTGATCGATGATCAATGGCAAAACAATCATACAATGGCCGAATTGCAATGTTTCGATCACTGAACCCATCCGGCGTGAAACAACGAGCCTTCAATCGATGGGTGACCCAAAATCTCGATTTGCGGTGCCCATCCGATGCAGACTTTGCCTCTGCCAGAGATCCTGCAATTGAATTCCTGCGGGAGAGCGTCGAGATCGTCGGAAGCCCAACTGGGTTTTCTTAGAGCCCACAAAAATGGCAATTCCAATGACTCTAGCCCGGAAGCTATCTCGTAAGTCTGATCTCTGGTGAGTTTACACTCGCTTCCAAACCCAGCGAACACCACTGACTTGGGTTTCTGTTCATCAAGACATTCAAAGATCTTACTCAACACGCCGTCGTCAACGGTGACGATTCGTGTTTTATTGGGTTTTTCGAGCAGAAGTAACCCCGTCAGAATCACAGGTTTACCAATAATTTTCACATACAAATCGATGAACTCACCTTCGAGCTCTCTGCAACTACGAATCACCACGGCTCGACACGCTTGAAGTGATTTAGCGAGTCGTACAACATCTATAATGCCGGAGCCATTTCCTTTGTAGATCCCAGTAAAAGTACCAATTGCTTCGTAGTGACGATATGATACCGATGACCGGAAACTAACCCAACACGGTGGTAACGTCATGTCCTCCGACGATGACCTCACTCTTTTCTGGTCATCACCGACTAAATATTCCGGTGAGCCGAAGAACACCTTAGAGGCGGCGGTGAAGAGGGAGAAGATCATGGCGGGGAGACATAGCATTCCTGAGCTGCATCAACCATCCAGTGATAGACAAAGTCGGTGAGGATCCAGTCCGGTGACTGTTCCGCTACGAATTGCTTGAAGGGTTGTTTAAGGCGATCTAACGCAGCCTTCAAGTGCTGGATTTTGTCGGTAGTAACATCAACCGTGGCCTCTGCACCTTCCAGTAAGAGGTTCGAGCCTAGCGCCGACAAAAGAATCGAAACAAAGGTGACTAGTTGTTATGAAAATAGAGAAAGAAAAGAAAAGAGAAACTCTATATTGAATTGAATGAATACTACAATAGGAGAAGCCTATATATATAGGCAGAAAAAAAACCTAGATAGGTATAGAAAAGATAGAGATAAGTATAGAATGAGATAGCGATAGAGAGAGATACAATACAAATAAATAAGATACATCTATAATAATATACAGCTAACACCCCCCCTCATGCTCAAGGTGGTAAGTCAGATATCAATTTGAGCTTGGAGAGGAGATCAGAGAAGCGGCCTGGAAGATGAGCTTTGGTGAAGAGGTCGGCGGTCTGATCAGCAGAGGTAACAAAGAGAAGACCAACATGGCCACTAGTAACATGTTGTCGTATGAAGTGGCAATCGATCTCAATATGCTTGGTGCGATCATGGAAGACATCGTTATGGGCAATCTGAATAGCACTTTGATTGTCACAATAAAGATTAGTGGCAGCTGAATGAGAAACACCCATGTCAGAAAGAAGCCAACGAAACCACACAAGCTCCTGAGTAGTGTCTGCAAGAGCACGATACTCAGCCTCGATACTAGAACGAGCAACAAGGGTTTGCTTCTTGCTACGCCAGGAAATGAGAGAATTGTCCAAGAAGAAGCAGAACCCAGTAGTGGAACGACGATCGATAGGATCCCCTGCCCAATCGGCGTCGGAAAAGGCTTGCAGCTGTAGAGAAGAGAGACGGGAATAGTGAAGACCATGAAACAAAGTTCCTTTAAGATAGCGCAAAATGCAAACCAGAGCAGCATAGTGTGGAGAGCGAGGAGCAGTCATAAATTGACTGACAATATGAACAGCATAAGCAATATCTGCGCGAGTAACTGTGAGATAGACAAGACTACCAACTAACTGACGATATAAAGTTGCATCTGACAATAGGGGGTCGTCAAGAGGTGTAAGACGATTTTGAGGATCAACTGGAGTAGTGACAGTCTTGCAATCGCTAAGGCGAGCACGAGCCAAAAGATCAGAAGTATACTTGGCTTGGGTAAGAAAATAACCAGAGGAATCCTGAGAAATTTCCAAGCCAAGGAAGTAGCTAAGTGCACCCAAATCTTTCATCTTAAACTAGCGATGGAGAAACTGTTTGAGACTAGAAATACCCACTGTGTCATCTCCAGTGATAATCATATCATCCACATAGAGGAAAAAAAGAATAGTACCGCGCTCCGTCTTACGGATAAACAAGATAGAATCATAGGCACTGGAAGAAAAACCAAAGTCACGAATGGTAGAGCTGAACTTGGCAAACCAGGCACGTGGAGCTTGTTTCAAACCATATAAAGCACGGCGGAGTTTGCAAACCTTGTTTGAGGGAACAGAAGAAACAGGAGGGGGTTGCATATAAACTTCCTCAGTGAGATCACCATTGAGAAATGCATTCTTGACATCCATCTGAGAAAGGTGCCAGTGGCGAGCAGCAGCAACGGCAAGTAAGCTGCGAACTGAAGTAAGACGGGCAACAGGAGCAAATGTTTCCTCATAGTCAATCCCATATTCTTGACTAAATCCCCGGATGACAGGGCGAGCTTTATAATGCTCAATGGAACCATCAAAATGAGTTTTGATCCTGTAAACCCATTTGCAACTAACAATACGCTTGCCAAGAGGAAGATCAACCACATCCCAGGTATGAGTTTGATCGAAAGGTTGCAGTTCATCAGTCATAGCTTGTTGCCAAAGAGGGTTAGAAGAAGTTTCTTGATAAGAAGTAGGTTCATGAGAGCAAAAGGCAGTGGAACCAACAATATAATCACGGAGAAGAACAAAAGGTTGCCTTACCCGTGTAGAATGACGCTCAGGTGGAGGAGGAACCTCAATGGAAATAGGTTCCGGAAGAACCTCCACCGGAGCTGGAGAAGGTGTAAGGCCATCAGCTGACACAGGATCCTCAGGATGGACGATAGGCGTAGGCGGCTGTGGAAGCATGGGGCCAAAATCTACATCAAAGTCATTAGAAAACAGATCTATAGAAATATCAGTGAAGACTGGTGAGTGGGTGGACTGTGGTAGGTGAAACTTGGAAAGAGTGGAGAACATTTTGTGTTCCCAAAAGACCACATGATGAGAAATACGAAGACACTTGGAGATAGGATCCCAATAACGATACCCTTTATGTTCTATACCATACCCCAAAAAACAACAAAGACGAGAACGAGGTTCTAGTTTAGTGTGTTCATGAGGCAGAAGTAGAACAAAACAAGTAGAACCAAAAACTTTAAGAGTGATATAATCAGGAGGAGAACCATACAAGCGCTCGTAAGGAGTTGTGTTAGCTATTACAGGGGTAGGGATTCGATTGATGGTGTGGATGGCAGTGAGGGAAGCTTCCCTTCAAAAATTTTCAGGACAAGAAGAAGAAAGGAGAAGAACCCGAGTAGTGTCTAGAATATGACGGTGCTTTCTTTCGGCTCGTCCATTTTGTAATATGACGGTGCTTTCTTTCGGCTCGTCCATTTTGTTGGGAAGTGCCTGCACAAGATCAATGAAAGAGCACCATAAGCCCGAAGAAAAGAAAGAAAATCATAATCCAAGTACTCCTGAGCATTATCAGAACGAAACAGTTTAATAGTACGAGAAAACTGAGTGCGGACCATAGCAGAGAAATCATAGTAAATTTGTTTAAGTTCAGAACGATTTTTTAGAAGAAAAAGCCATGTATAGCGAGAAAAATCATCAACAAAAATCACAAAATATCTAGACCCCCCCATGGTAGGTGTGTGGGGGAAGGTCCCCAAATATCTGAATGCACAAGATCAAAAGGAGCAGTAGAAATAGAATTACTTTTATTAAAAGGTAATGCAGGTTGTTTAGTAATTTGACAAGATAAACAATCGACATCATCAAGACGGACACGACCTAACTGACCACTAGAAACTAAATTTTTCAAACGACTAAAAGAGACATGTCCTAAGCGACAATGCCAAAGATGAAAAGAAGACATAGTAGATGCAGCAGCAACAGTAGATGATTTGTGCGGACTGCGAAGATGGATAAGCTCGAACAGACGTCCATGCTTACGACCTATCCCAAGGATCTATCTCGTCTGAGGGTCCTGCACCAAACAACCATTAGCAAAAAAGGTAATAGTTAGACCAAGTTCACATAACTGACATACAGAGATAAGGTTCATTTTAAGAGAATGAATATGGTAAGCATCAAAAAGAGACACAGTGGAAGTAGAGATTTGGCCAATATGACTAACAGGCATATGAGAACCATCAGCAGTGTGTATAGTGGGAGCAGAAGAGGATGATGACAAAAAAGAAAATAGAGTGGAGTCAGAAGTCATGTGATTACAGCATGCGGAATCAAAATACCATGAAGAGTTACCTGAGGTTACTGAAAGAGCAGTAGAATGAGGAGTACCCGATTTATTGAGCACCTGGTGGATAATGGACTCAACATCATCCATAGAGAAGGAAGGAGCAGAAGAACCCTCAGAGGCAACAGCGGCAGAGCGAGAACCGTGGTTAGATTTGGATTGTGACCCAGAACGAGAAGCCCCTTTCTTAGATGAAGTAGTGAAGGGAGCTCGAGGACAATTGCTTTGGAGGTGGCCCGAAGCAGTCTTGTGACAAGACAAGCATTCGCGAACCTGGCAGTGAACAAGAGAATGATTGGCTGGCAGGCCTCGGTTGCGACAATAACTGCATATGAGTGGCTGTGAAGATGAGGAACTCTGAGAAGATGGCGTAGCAAGAACAGAATCCATGTCGTGAGATCTGAGACTCCCAAAATGAGTCTCCTTTGATAGGAGCTCAGTAATGGCTTGCTCTAAAGTGGGCAAGGGCAAACAATGAAGCAAAGAAGCACGCATGGGCTCAAAAGTGCTATGAAGAGTCATAAGAAACTGTAATAGTCGCTGATGATTTCGATAAGTAATAAATAGTTGTGCATCATCAGAATGAGCCTATGGAGATTCAGAAAGAGCGAGCTAGTCCCAAACGGACGACATTTGGGATAAAAGGTCGTTGAGAGACTGACCGGGTGCCTGGCGCATGTGATGAAGAGTCTGCAACAGTTTATATTGATGAGCATGGTTAGTGGTCTGGTAATGTTCCTTCAAAAAATCCCAAATTGCTTTGGCAGGAGAGGCAAGAGAGTCATCGTCTTGAAAGCGTCCAAATTGAAGGTTGATGGAAGGAACTAAGGTAGTCCGGAACCATGTGATAATTTGATAATTCTTACTTTCCCATTCATCAAGACGGTCATCGAATGCAAAGTCCGTCTCATCCTCCTTCTGGTTGGGTTTGGAAAGAGTACCAGTAATAATCCGCCAAAGGCGTTTCCCTTTAATGAAGCTAGAGAGAGCTTGGGCCCAACTAACATAATTAGATCCATCAAGTATAACAAAAACAGATGGGATGTTGTCAGTACGATCCATAATTGCCAAAACGGAGGTCACCAACAGATTCAGAAACCCAAAAAACCTTAGGAACAAGTAGGGCTGACATCAACTCTGTGTTGTGATGATGTCAGCAGCCAACCAGGGGTTGAGAGAGGCTAACGTCAGCGGCTGAATAGGGTTGACGTCAGCAGCTAAACCAAACAAGGCACACGGCTGAGAGAAGCTGGGGGGAAATCGGCTGAGGCGGAAGCCAAGGATAGAGCGGCTAAGGCGGAAGTCGATGGGCGAGTCGAGGCTGATGCGGAAGCCGAAGGGCAAAAACTGAGGGAAGCCGGCTGAGATGACGCGTGTGGGAGCATGTCGAGAATGGAACCGAAGGAAGCCGACGTGCAAGTCTTTGGGTGGCGCATGATGGCTCGTGTGAAGTCCGATGGTGGTGATTCTGGTGGCGTTTGCTTCATCTTGAAGAGACGAAGAGTTTGGTATAGTCCAAATGTTGAAACAGAGATGAACTAGATACGCAAAAGCCAGCAGAAACCAATCGGGGACAGAACCAGAAAAAAAAAATGAGGCTAGGAGAGAACCTAAGCTCTGATACCATATTATGAAAATAGAGAAAGAAGAGAAAAGAGAAACTCTATATTGAATTGAATGAATAATACAATAGGAGAAGCATGTATATATAGGCAGAAAGGAAACCTAGATAGGTACAGAAAAGATAGTGATAAGTATAGAAGGAAATAGAGATAGAGAGAGATACAATACAAATAGATAAGATACATCTATAATAATATACAGCTAACACTAGTTATGATAATTCATGAGGGAGTTGAGGGAGTCTCCAGATGTTTCTTGGCGTTGAAACGTAGGAGACAGGAATACCAGCTTTGGCTAAGACTAAGGAGAGCTCGTAAAATGGCATCATGTGGCCGAATGCGAGAAACGGAACAAGGACGACGTGGAATCAAGATCCTCTCTTTGAGGTTCTTACTTGACTTCCTATTTGTTGGGTCATTGGGTCTATTTTTAGCCCCAATTTCAATAATCCGAACCGTTCATATTTTAAGATTTATTGAGTATATCATACATGTAAAAAATCAAATTGATCGGATATCAGAAAGCATATGTTTGGAAAACTGTTTATTAAATTTTTTTTTTTTAAATAATTTTTAGTTCGATGATCCGAACACATGCTTTTTGATATCCGATCAACTTGATTTTTTACAAGTATGATATGCTCAACAAATTTTAAAATATAAACAATTCGAATTATTAAAATTAGGTCACAAAGTAAGTCCAATAACCTAACAAATAAGAAATCAAGAAGGAACCTCAAAAGGAGGATCCTGATTCGGACGACGTGAGTCTCTGTGTCTAATTTTTTCTGGCGAAGAGGGTTTTATTTATTGAAATAGTGAAAGTTGACTGGTGAAAGAAAAACGGCATACTAGTTACTAGTAAACTTTTGTGAGTCGAACAGTTCTGGAGCATGACCACCATTTAGATATAGACAAAGCATCTGGGAATGATTCCTCGCCATTCCACTCAAGCATGGATCCAGGCAATGCGGTTGCAAAATAATAATAATAATAAATAAAATAAAATTTGTACAGTAATGTTGGCGATATTAAATTTTTTATTAAATAAATGATGAAATATTTCATATGAATATAGAGTTTATATTTTTTATGGACTCTAGATATTTTGTCAT